AGAAACCTGTTTCACTGTTGCTAAGAAATCTATTTCTAGCTTTCCAATTTTGCAGGAAGTTCTTGCCCATTTCCATTGTTTCCTCTTTTTGCTTCCAGGTAACTTCAAAAAATCTGAATTAAACAAGTGGACATTGGTCACAACATTCTTTCTAGAAATAGCCTGTATTGATAAAGTTCCACCACATTTTTTTATGCATTTATTCAGCTTTGCGAACTCCGACTCACATCAAAAGATTTGTCAGTGGCGCGTGCTCAATTTTTTTTTTATTATTTAGGTGTCCCAAGAAGACCTAACAGTCTTGTCACAGAGCACCGCGGAAGTGCATTTAACCAGGAAGTTCACGCCTCCTTCCTTACCGTGACAAATTTTACAGTCTGTTCTCTCATTTTCAAAATTCTGATTCTTTCCGTACGTCATTAGAGTCTAATGACTGGAGAGAAAAAGTCCATCTCTTTAAACTGCCGAATCAATGTGTCCATAATTTTAGCCAAGATATCAGCAAGAAGCTTTCCTCTGCTACTGTTTAATTCAACATTGCTTCTAGCTCATTTCAGTTGTGATAATTGAAATACCTTATCGATATTATGATCGATGCCCAGAATTAAATGCGCGCATTGTTATTATTATTATTAATTTTTTTTCCTTCAACATCTTGGCTTCCAACAAGGCTGCAAGCGCCTACTATTAGAGTTGGAAGTTACTTGATGAGAAAAGATGAAGTTTATAGAGCATAATAACGATTGACAGACGACTTGAAATATTCAAATTATATAATTAAGTATAGCAACAAAAAGGAAGCGAGTTCTAAAGAACTGATGTTCGAGGAAAAAAACTGGACAAAAAGAGTTTTTATAGCACATTGGAACAGTCACAGAAATGATGAGACTTTATAGCACATTGGAATAGTCACAGAAAGGATGAGACTTTATAGCACATTGGAATAGTCACAGAAAGGATGAGACTTTATTGATAAACAAGTTAGCTCTTTAAACCATTTCTAATTATAGAATTTGTAGAATAGAGAAAAAGAAGCAACATTACGACAATGCGATAATGGTTGGAGGTTGGCTGCAAGAGCAAATTCAAATAAAACCATTGTTGTTCTCAACTACCCTACGTGCGTGGGGTAATTCTGATATCACCTTGGGTAATCACAAATACTGTTGTGTTAACGAATAAAATGCTAATTGTGATAACTAAGTGCATAAATTACAAATACAACCTCAGGATATGCTCACCTCCACTAAACCGTACAATTGTAACACATAATCCAGTCTTCCTTCGGCACTCTCTTCGCAACTTGACACAAGAACACTCTTTTAAAATAAGTATTTAATTTTTAAATTATTAACATTTAGAAAAATTATTACAAACACAAATAACAAACAAAATTCCGGGACGTGCTTTCGCCAATTGTGCAATTTTGTGCAATTAGGACTGGCATTCATGACACATGATCCAATATTCTGTGGATGGATCTTTATACCTTTCTTTGCAAATTAAACAAAAAAGTTTGTATCTATGGCTCTCTTCTTTTCAAAAAAAAAAGTTTGTATCACCTAAGTTTGTATCACCTATGGCTCTCTTCTTTTCTTTACATGCTGGTACATGATTAGCCCCTAATAGATTAAATTTATCTTTTCCTTTTTAGTTTTACTAGTAATATTTTTTCCTTGTTCCTTCTTACTTTTCTTTTACTCTGAAATTATTCTCATTTGCAAACTAGTAAGATACAGATATAGTGGAATAGCTTTTTTTTTAAAACATTTTTTTTCACTCTATTAAATGAAAATAAGTATCTAACAATTTATCGGTTAAAATTAAATGTGAAAAAAGTAAGAAACATTAAAGTTCTGGGCACCTGTTGTCTGTGTGTTTTTAATGACACTTTAGACATTCTAAATTACCCCACTAAGATCGTTCGTTATTTCCCCGCGGTCACAATCAAATGAAATACGATTTATCTATTGAGATTGCATTGACATACCCAAAATATAATACGGGTTAAAATCTCCTTGATTACGGTACTATAAAGGACTATAAAGGAATGGATTTATATCCATAGCAGATACAACAGGAATGTTTTTCTAGCAAAAAATTGCATGAAGCTATCAGAAAAAGTTAGGATCAAAGTTATTGGGAACAACCGACTCTTCCTACTTCCGTTTTTCCGATAAAAAAATGAACGTGCTCCTGGTCACGTAGACTTTTTATTCGGTCTTGTTTATACCAGACTGAACGTGCTGTATTTCACATTAATGGTCAAGTTTGTACACACAAATGTGCACGTCTACCTTCGCAAGTTTTAAGCTCCCATTTCTTTTTTCAATACTTTTTAAAAGGAAACACATTTTTTTGACCTAAAACGCTATTTAACGCGCAGATTTCTATAATATTTGGATTCACTACCCAAGAAAACATATATGTTTTCTTGGTTTCTTCTATATATATAGAAGGATACGAATATATTTGAGGAAAATTATTTTTTTACCAAAATTGGGAGCTAAATTTGAAAAAAAAAATATTTCTAACCAAAATCTTGTTGCAGGCCAAAAAAGTTAAATTAAAATTTTTCTTTTATTTTTCCTTTATTATCTAAAATGTATTTTTCATTTTTCCTTCATTTTCTAATAATTTTTCATTTATTTTTCATAAAATTTGAATTCAACGTCACATTTCGCCTTAGAAACAGCTTGTCGAGAAAAACTTTTAGATTTGCCCCACCCTAGTATCATATAAAAGTAGTAATCATATAAAAGTATTTCCACGTGACCCAAATGTTTCCTATTGTTTTACAATTGTTATTTATAAATCTTATATTGCATACCCTGGGCTTTAAATAAAGAGTTAAACGTCCATCTTTTAATACCTCCTAGGTGTAATTAAGAATTAAAGTTGGTTTCCATATTTAAAATGGTCGCACGATAGTCGCACGATTGTTTCAAGACTGTCGCGCGACTATATGGAAAAATTGGTTGTGCGACAAATTTTTTCTCGCAAGATTGTTTTATGCCATAGGTGTCGTAGAGATACAAAAAATTTATCGCAATTGTAGCACGTCCCTATGATTAGCGTTAAAAAATCTGATTGGCTGACCAACCAACCTTTACTGTTTACCAACCTTCACTATTTACGAAAAACACCAGTTAAATATTTATGGTTTCACCGTTACGTAAACGTTGTATTATAATATACTGAACTTTCGTAAGGAACGTGAAACCAGTAATAGACGCACGTGACATTTAAATCAGACTTTAAAACCTCAAAAAATACATGCAAAACAAAAAATACTCGATTAAAACTGCCTGTGAAATAAACGTGTTTTTGGTTGACGCCTGTATCTTGACCAAACAGGTTTTAGTTTAAGTTGTGTAGGCTTGGGATATTATACACAATGCTAACTTTGTAGTTAATTCTAATACTATTTTGTAGTAATTCTTTAGTTTGCATTTCTGTAAGGCGTTGCTAAATTTTTTTGTTTTTGTTTTTATTTAATGAACTGTTTCTGACTAAAACATTATTTTTGTATTTAAAAAAAAATTGTTTATGTACCAAGATATTAAAAAAAAAAACTGCAAAAAAAACAAACTAATCAGACTTGATAAAATGAGGTTGTTATGAAAAGTTTTAAAAAAATCTGTATAAATATACACTATGTCAAAACACAATATATACAAAATTGAACCAATCTATCAAAAGTAATTTTCTGACGTTTCAAAACGAGTTTCAGATAAATTTCGAAGTTTTTCATTAAAGTTAACGCTTGATTATACTGATAATCAAAGCGTAAACTTTAATGAAAATTTAAATAAAATAAACAACGTCATGCAAATTTTAAAATTTAAAGCAAATTTTTGTTTTTTTAATACAATTACTGGATAGTTTTTTTTTTTTTTTTTTTTTTTTTTTTTTTTTTTAATTAATTTATTTAACAATTACCGTTTCCAACCTTTACAACTGTATAAAAAGCAGAGTTCTTTGGTTTTGATTTTTAACGGATTAAGAGTTTTAACGGATTAATTATTTGAACTTGTATGAGTTTATTATGGTTAACATAAATTTAGTTATGGTTAAAAAAATAATTTTATAAAGTTGTGAATCTTTCCACTGGACACAGGATAAATGAAAAACGTCTTTTTAACAAATTTTAAACGTTTCGAACGTTTTCGAACGTTCAAAAGACGTTATTTTTAGGTCCTTTACGCACTGGGTTTTTATGTTTTGCATTTAACTTAGCCGGTCTCTATAATAAGTTTTGTATCTACATTTTTGGTTTTTCAAAATATCCAATCAGATTTATGCAAATAACTCATTCAGATTTATCATTTTAAAAAGACTATAAACTTCAATGAAAAATAAATCAAAATGGTAACTTTTCACCGTTTCCACTTATTTTTCAAACCTTGCATTATCTCGGTAATATTTCTGCTTAAAAAACCTTTGTTTTTGTGTTTCTAGAGTGGTTTACTTAAAAAATCAGAAGGATTGTTATAAATATATATTCTGGTTGAGATGCTTTTCTTGTGGCATATTGGTCTAGGTTGGTTGTTGGGAATTCACTTATATTTATATTGTACCACAAGCCATTTGATCATACTTTTTATTTATGAGATATCCATACAAGACATACCTGTGAAACATCCATACAACTCAAATTTAAGCGTTAAACATATAATGAGCTGAACAAGACTTGATTTAAGAAAAAACCCGTTTGATCACTAATCATTACTTATAATTATACTATATTAACATACTTCATGGTATTAATACCTTAAAAATGCATAATTATGTCATAATCACGCAATAGCACAAAAACCTTGATCTGTTCTGGAGATGATGTTTGTTTAGTTTTGCCTTAAACTCGTAAAACTAATTTTCAATTCTAAAAATCAATATGATAGTAAGTTTTATTTATTTTTAGTTATGTTTTATATACCAATTCCAACGTTAATTGCAATATTGCACTGACTCACGGATAGAGGAACTACCTGCGTCTCTCGCAATTTAGAATGTTTAGCAATAAACGAGTTTGTAAATAAAGATTTCTAAAAAGTTTTTTTTGAACAATTACCAATCTGCATTAAAGTAGTTTGGCGACAAAACGAATAAACAAAAGTCGAATTAACTCACATTTGTTGACTTGTATGAAGCTTATGTGAGATCCAAATTAATTTCAAGTTTAGTTTTGTTGTTAAACAGAATTCAAATCAAATCAGTCACAACTCAAAAATTTTAGACGTTTTGGAGGATGGAGTTTCCGAAGTTTGTAAAGAAAGGCACATTATGTGAAGATTCTTTTATAGAAAACGCTTTTAAAAGAAGTTGCGTAGAAAAGTTTCCGAGAGAGAAAACTGCAAAACGTCCAATGAACTCATTTTTGCTTTGGGCAAAATCTGTAAGGAAAAATTTTTCAAATGATAATCCTAATCTAACCAACACTGAAATAAGTAGAGTGCTAGGGAAAGTCTGGAAAGAAATGAGTGAAGTTGAGAAATTGCCGTTTATTCAAAGTGCAAAGTGTCTTCGAACTAAATTTTTAAATGATTATCCAAATTATCAATACTTGTGCAAAAAACGGAAATTCAATCAAGTAAATAATACAAGTTTTTCCAAAATGGCGTCCAAACTAGGAAGTAATGATTTAAATGCATACGAAATTTTTAAATGTTTAAACATGAGTGAAATTATAGAACACAAAGATTTGAAAAGCTTTGGCTACCTTCAAAGTGTATTCACTGCTTATCAAAACGAAAGAAACGACAATCAAAATATATTTTTGCCTGAAGTTTTTACAAAAAGCATAAGTAATAAATTTGATTCCAATGTCAAACTAAATACTAAATCAAATAAAATTAAAAGTGACAGTTTTGATGAAAATCAACAAATGCAAAAAGAAAAAACTACGCTGCATTACTATTCAGATGAAACACAACATTTTAATCAAAATTCTTTTGACATAAATAGCGAAGAAGATTTTAATCAAAATAATCAAATAAAAGAAAGAGAAGATGTTATTGAAATTGACTCTGAATTAAGAGAATTTTTTCAGTCTCTTGAGAAAGGTTTTGGTTATTATGAATGAATAAATGTTACTTTCTTAAGCAATTTTATTGCTAATATTTTTTTATTATTTTAATTTTTAACTAAACTACTACAAAATTTTAACTTCAATTATTTTACAAAATAAATATACAACAATATATAGTGTCTACTATATACAGTCATATCTAGTAGACATTTATTTGTCTACTATCTTTAATATTATTATCTATATTTATTTTAATTATATCATTATCAACTGTATCAAAAGTTTTATTATTATTATTATTATTATTATTGTTATTATTAATATTATTTGTAGAATTTTGTAACTTTTTTTTGAAAATTTATCTAATATGGTTAAAATAAAGGATATATTGATAATAACCTGTTTGTTTTGCAGTTTACTGTGTGTATTTTTCTTGTAAAAATGTTACCTCAGAACAATTTTTGGATGGCATAGGATCAGGGCTGTCCCGAACAGGGGGTCTAGGGTGTGTCCCACTCCCCCACCCCCCAAAGCTGTCATACAAGCATTTGAGTTGGCACATTGAGCAAGTTTTGAACTAGAGTTGGCAAATTGCAAATATTAAGGAACTTTTGTGTTGCCAAGAAACACATACAACACTCCCCCTCGCCCATGGAAGACCTCATCAGGACGGCCCTGCATAGGAAAAGTTAAACTTATCACTTAGAATTATTACCTACATTTACACATATACAGTGAGTTTTGGCTACTTTGACTTTTTCAGCCCATTACTAAAACTCCGTTAAAGTCTTAGGACGTCCATTGTACGTTATATGCCCAGTGGGTAGATTTGAGCAGAGAAATGTATTTTAATAAAACAGATTTTAATGTAACTCTAAACCTCTCAGAGTCCACGAAATAGTTTTAACATTGGGCGTGTTGATAATTCTCAGAGATCAACAAATAGTTTTAATATTAGGTGTGTTGATAATTTATTAGTGATAATTAATAAATAGACTTTTTTTAAAATTTGAAATTCCTACTGCTATATTGTCATATTTTTTTATCAACAAATATAAATATATTTGTTTATAAACAAATACAAATATATTTGTTTATAAACAAAATAGGAGTTGCAAAATTTTAACTTCATATATATTCACTGATGATTTTTAATCGCAAACATTTCAAATACAAAGCTTGGCTTGGCAGCAAATATTTATAGATGAAGACTTAAAGTTAGTTTAAATCAATCGTCAGTTCGAATTCGCGAATTTTATTTTGAACTGTTTGGTATTTTAAATTTAATAATAGATGTACTTAAAGAACTTCAATTATAAGCTCAATATGAAAAACCACCATTTTTATAATATATAATTATCATAATACTTAAATGCAGTCTAACAAACATATATTCTCCTGAATTTTTTGGAGTTGAAATAGAAATAGTTTGCTGAGATTATTAAATTTTATTGCATTGTTGATAACACTTTTAGAATGTAACTTAAGTCTGTTTTGTCATATTCTAATTAAACATTGTAACAATAATATTTTTTTCATCAACAACAATAACAACAGCAACAAAGTGGAAAAATGAGTAAAATTAATTAAGTCAACGTATTCGAGTAACCGTAGACGACATTCAGTATGTAATAAAAAAAATATCTAAATATTATTTCTTGTTGTATATTAAATAAAAACTTTACAGAAACTAATTAAACTTTGCGTAAGTAAATATTATTTTTATTCGTTTATTATATTTATTACCAAATATTCGTTGTTACAAGTATTATTTCTCTAATACTTCTAAAACTAAAATTTATTTGTGTCATTTAAAAGATAAGTATTTAAATTCACACAAGTAAATATTATTTATGTTAAGTAATGCAGAAAATAATTTGTGTGAAGAATGACGTCATAAGGATTTTTTTTTACTGGTGTCAATTAACCTTGATGGCATCAAAACTAACCTAATCAAAACAATTTACCTAACTTGACGTGTTCAAAACTAAACCTATTAAACAGTAGTGTCAAAAAAAAAATACAAAAAAAATTAATTATCAGACTGGATTAAAGGATCACGGAGTACCGCTCTGTAAATAAAAACAATATTTTACCTTCATAATATGAAGACACGAAAAAGAAAAAAAAGTCATAAAAGAAAGTTAAACTCTAGAAAATCTTATTTATGGGACGTAGTTGAAGCTATTTAAACTGGTTTGAATTCATATATAGGGGAAAACGGGGCAAGATGGCGAGCCCCAGCAAACACTGGATCTACAAAAAACGTACAATGCACGTTCAGTTTACGTTCTGAATGTCCTAGCCTGTTTTTGGAACAAAAATACTTTTTTAGGCCAGCGCGGAACGTTCAAAAGACGTATGAATTACATTCGTTTACAGACATATGAATTACATTTCAATTATGAAACATAAATCAAACAAACATGTTAACTAAAATAAAAATCGCGTTTTATTAATATGGATCAAAAATATTTAGTTTTATGGTTAACTTTTCGAAGATTTGGTAGTTGTCAAATGCCTGCGCCGTTTTTTATTTTATCTCAAAATAACATTGAAAACTTAATAACAATAACTAACGAAATCATAAAGAGTTGTTTGAAATCGATTAGATTTTAAGTTATTAATTTAATTATTAATACAATAATATATTATTTCTTAGAGTCTTTTTCTTTTTACAATTTAACTTACATTTAGTTTTAGTAAATATGAAATAATAAATTTTTAAAAAATTTAGACTTTATTTATTTTTTTATTTAGTTGAAGTATATCAAAAATTTATAGTTTTTGATAAAACTATAAATACAGTCTAAATGAACTAAAATTAAAAAAATTTTCCTCAAAGTCTGTAAAAAGCTTAAACAAACGATATTACAAAGTAATAATTACTTTTAATCAACAATATTATAAAATAAAGATACTATAAGTAACCAATACTTTTTTCAAATTTTAATGTTATTGCCACAGTTAATACCAAAATTAAATTTTTTCTGCATTTCATTTCTTTTATAAGGATTTTTCATAGTAGAATATAGATTATGTTTACAATATATATTGCCATTGTATATACAAATACAATATACATTGTATACACAAAGACAAAAAGTAAATTATACTAATTTTATTGTTATGTTATGTTATACAATACTGTCATAGTATATTCTATGAAAATAAAAAATGGCAAAAAGAATAGCTAATGAGTATAATGTAGTCAAATTCTATTTTTAAAATGTATAATTTTTGATTTGTTAGGTTGATTGACATTTAAGAGAGTGCCGATACATCAACTGCAGGTTTGGCTTGATGAAATAATACGAAGCCTTATATTAGAGGTTAAGTGTTTTGATGTAATAATACGAAGTGTTACAGTGCTCAATATTACTGAATAATGGAGCTATATATAGTTTTATTTAATTTAGACGAATAAAAACAACTGATAAGTGGGACTTAAAGTTTCATGCCCAAAGGCAATCATCAGCTGTTAATACAAACAAAAAACGTAAAAATTACTGTAGAATGACATCTGACATAAACAAATCTACGTAAATAACAAACAAAAAAACAAAAAATAAAAAGCCATTATAGTTTACAAGTTCCCAGTGTCAAGTAAAGATAATAAATTTTTTTTTGAATGTCGACACTGAGATACGATTTCGTTTTTTTTATTCAATAGGTTTTTTTCCATTATGTAATAAAATAACATATTTTTCGTAAAGACAAAGGTGGCATAATTTTATTGCTAGATTGTAAGGTTAACAAGGTTTGCCAATTTTTCATTCTATAACAGGCTTTATGTTTTGGTCTTTTAAGCTCCATATTTCCTTAGATAGTTCTGTGTCATTGCTATACTTAACTGCTGCAAATGATTTGAGATGGTTTGCGTATCTTAGTTTAATGCGGTAGTGGTGTAGTGGTAAAACACTCGCTTCAAACGCGAGAGGTTCCGAGTTCGATCCCCACCACGTCCCTGGTAGTACCGCGCTCAACTTGTTTCTCCGCGCAGCGGCCTTGTTCATCAAGGTTCGTGTTTCAGAGTTATAGAGTTGAGAGATGGTTATAACCACTATTAAGTAGCCTCCTCGTCTCTAGTGGTCTTCTCGGCCTTGAGGAGGTGAATAAAAAAAAAAAAAAAAAAAAAAAAAAAAAAAAATGGTGTATTACTAATGCCAAAATGTACTTTTTTATTACAATCATGATGACTGCAACATACGGTTACTTGGTAGAAAATATTGTTAGATAAACTTGTCGTTTCTGTTAGAATTTATAGCTCAGATCGGTCTGTTGTTTTCCATTGTTTGTAATCTATACATTGATTGTTCAAAGGGTAAATGCTTTATCTCTAGGCAGTTACATTAGTTGGTTTTTAAATGATTTTTGTTGTGTAAAATTTTGAAATTATGCAAATTTATGATAGATTTTAGGTTAGGCGTGCAACTGTAGCTGATCTTAATAGAATTTTGGTTCAGCATTTTGTGTAGTTTGTGGCCGGTTGTGTGTAATGTAAAATGTAAGTCAATAAGGGCTAGAAAAACAGTTTCCTATTTTTGTTTTGACGTTTAAACCGAAAGGAGGGTTAGGGGCTATTTTTTAGTCAATTGTTGACCCCTCCCCCCCTTTGTCACCGGTTGTCCTTTTTCCCTATACCCCCCTTGAAAAGGACGTCATAAAATCCTGAATCCCCCCCCCCCCTATTTTTTACTCCAAAAAATTTTGCAATTCATCTCGCAATGATGTTTGAATCTGCTGCTACACCTTTGAAAAATAAAATTAAAAATATTCTCATACATCATCTTCTTAAAAACATATGTTTACGTAGTTTTCCATGTTAATTAAACTAAAATAAAAAATCTATAAAGTGACGTCCTTTTCTAACAACCTCCCCCCTCCCCTTGTCCTTTTTTGTCCTTTTTAACTCGATCCCCTCCCCCCCTTATTTGGATGACGTCCTTTATGGATGGCCCCTTATACCAAATAATATTACGTTTGCGATGCTTTTTTTTTTTTTTTTTTTTTGACTTGAGAATAATTGTAGTTGGTTGGTAAAGTTTGACTTGATTGGTTTATTTCAAACAAAATAATTAAATTTTACATTGTCGAAATTAAGCAAACTTTTGTTCAATTCTTTAATGGTATATCGAATGCTTTCACGGTTATCTCTCAAATTGGAAGCTTTTCCATTGTTGTTAAAACGACTTCCTTGAAAACCTTTCTTTAACAATATCTCATTTCAATATGAGCTGTAAAAAAATAAGATTTAACTGTTAGTTTTAAATTTTATAGGTAACATTATTTTTAATATGTTATAAAAATCTTACTATTTCTCCCAACAGTCTTCATATTAAAAATGTAACTTTCACTATCGAAGGTAGAAAAACATATAACCCTTAATTAAAACATATAACCCTTTAAAATTAAATTAAAATTAAAACACATAACCCTTAATTTTATAACCTACATTTATTTAATCTTTTTTAAATGTACTTGAAATAGATAAGCACATGCTTGTGATTCATATAATAAATTGATAACATTCTTTTAATTACTGATAAATAAATTATATAAAACTATTAAATAAACATAACTTTATATTTATGTTGTATATAATTTGATATATATTGTATACACTTTACATACAGAACAATGGGTAATAGATCCAAGCCCCCCTCCCCTTCAAAAAAACTGTCATAAAACCCCCAAAATTTTACATTTTTAAAAGGACCCCTAAATTTGCAAATGAGCCCCCTAGGCAAAACTCTGCTTATATATATATATATATATATATATATATATATATATATATATATATATATATATATATATATATATATATATATATATATATATATATATATATATATATATATATATATATATATATATATATATATATATATATATATATATATATATATATATATATATATATATATATATATATATATATATATAAAACGACTAAAAAGCTACAAATTCCTCAAACATAACCTATTCATCACAGGATTTGTCAGCTTTTTAAAACTTTTCAAAACAATTATCATCTTCACTAGCTAAAACAAACACTCTAAACCTTGATAATTTTAAATTGTAAACAGTGTCTCAATGCAATGATAATTGATCCTTTAAAATAAAGAATAATAAATCTCTGTTTACCTCCTTGTACGCGTTTATTTGAGCAACCCTTTGGTCTTTGAACAAACTTTTTAAAATGACCTGAAAAAGTTTTGTATTTGAACGAGGGACACCAATCAAGTACTTAAAATTTAACTGTATTTCCTATGTGTTAAAGAACGCACATTGTAAACTTGTTGATCCTTACAATAAAGTTCACCAAATGACTGCAAAAAATTAGTAGCTGACAAGCAAAATTAACATATTTTTCAACAAAGTAAAACATAAAAATAGAACTGCAACTGAAAGATCTAAAAAATGTGAATAGATTTTTGGTTAAATCATTTCCTTTAAATAACTGGCCGAGTGTATACTAGAAAAAGTCTAAGATTAATTGCTTTCCGTTTTTTAATATCTAATTAAGACCTTGATTTTCTAGAAAATTTTGTTGGAATGTAACGACGTATCTAGAACCATCCGCCAGATAAATTATTGACTGTAATCAGAGACAATTTATAACAGTTGGGCCATTTAACCATAAGTTGACGAGTCTTCGCATACTCCGAAGCATACTGAATCAGTGCTTAAAATTAATGAAATATGTGGGAGTATTATCTTGCCACACCACTGTTCTTTCTGAACACATCACTTATAACAATTGTGTCCCTTAATACACTTAACAAAGGCTCTAGCTAATGCATCCCATATGATAACAGCAAGATTGATTTCGCACTCAATATTTCCATAGATAAAACCATCTTTTGCAAGAACTGTGAATTCTACCAAAACATTATGTAGATAATTAAAAATGGAATTATGTTATTGGGCACCACCTTTTAAACAAATCTCTAAAAGCCCAATTTAGGTCCCCAAAAAATGTGAGTCCTAGGCCTAAGCTCTGACAGCAACATTTATAAACAGCAAAAACTTTTGGCAAATTTTATTTAAAATTTTTTACATTTTATATATATATATATATATATATATATATATTATATATATATATATATATATATATATATATATATATATATATATATATATATATATATATATATATATATATATATATATATATATATATATATATAGCTGATAGTATTATTTTCTTTTACTATCAGCTATCAAGCTGATCAAACTGACTTGATCAGCTTCAGCTTTAATCTGAAGCTAATGAGTTTAAATCTGAAGCTGAAATATCAGCTGCAACCCTACTTTATAGACAGCATAGTTAATGTGGTGTATATACATTATCATAATACATGAGTTTTTTTAATACTCAATTACTTATTTTTTTTTTTTTTATAAAACATTTTTTTTAATATGTGTTTTTTTATAATATTTAATACGTAAGAAAATATTGACTTTTGCTGAATATTTTTTACATAAAAACATTTTCTTACATTACACTAATTGTAATAATTGACAAGAGTAATATTTATTCCAATCATTTTATTTGTCCCCAAAGTTCATGCAATTCTATTATACATAAGTCTCTCACTAATTCTAATAAATAAAAGTTATTACCATTATTATTATAATTATATTTACTAACCTGTCATTAATAATATTTTTCAAAAATACTTTCTGGTTGTTGAAGTCACTTTTACTCATATCAGTGTGCAAGTATAGTTAACAGTCAGAGTGCATCGCGCAGAAATATTTTAAACATGATGCAAAATACAAGATATATATATAAGATTCATGTTATATAAGACCTATTACCTAGAACTTAATATTTTTATCCCAAAATTTTAAAACTACGTTATAGAAAACGAAAATATTTTTAACTTACTATAACTCAGTTATAATTTATAAGCAAATTGTCATGATCCATATAATAACTATTTACTTTTTTTAGTTATCGTTATTTATGTTTAAGTTATCAAGTTAAATTAAAGTTTTATAACTAAAGTTTGAATGCAAAAGTTCATATCAATAAAAATTTTATCAGCCCTAAAATTTTAAACATAAGTTAAGGATTATAAGTATTGACAAGTATAAGTATTGTAAGTATAAGTTATTATCATGTATATTATGATATTATTATTAATATTACACCTAATAGTTATATCTGAAGGTGAGTAAACTTTGTTAACATCAGCCATTTTGCTTTTATAAAATATAGAAAAATCAAAAGAAAAAACATTGGATCTGTAAAAACGATTTAAAAGCTTTAAATTCCCTAAATATAACCTATCCGTCACAACATTAGCCTGTTTTCTCTTTTTAAATGTTTCTGATTAAACCAATATTTTGATTAAACTCAAAGCAGTTATTACCGTCACTAGCAGAAACAAAACTTTATATTTTGATGATTTTAAAAATGCAAACAGTGTCTCAATGGACTAGCTACTACATATTTAATAGTTAGTGAAAAATATCTAAAACATATATGTTGAACTTTGTAAATTTATTTTTAAAAAATACTAAAAATTCTTTTATAATGGTAATAAATTAATGAAATTTTAAAACAACGTCTTTTTAATGGAGCTTCACAGTGAAAAAATACATCGAAAAAATAAATTCTCTTTAATTACAATGTATATATAATGTATACAAAAAATATAATGCATAAAAGTTAAATTTTTAAATTTTTGTTTTACGCACAATACGAATTATAAATGGCAACCATCGAGAGAGTTTTGTTAATTGTCGGTTTAAACCTTTTGGGAACCTTATGGGAAACCCGTCAAATCCCCAGATCCTTCGGTCCTGATAAAAACCAGATAAAACCCAATCAAACAAATTTGCTTGATCTTTTTACCATATGGGACCTGTCCGGAAACCAAAACGCTTACCCTTAAAAATCCCGTTCCCGTAAGTCCAGACAAAAAGCATACGGTACCCGTCTGTCAATGTTGGTTGGGATAATATTTTAACTCTCCCGTTAGGATTTATTAAAAAAGTAAATTTGGACATTGGAAAATTGGCCCCAGAGACTAGTTATTTCAAATATGTTAGCTTTATCTGTTTGATATATTTTATAAAAACCTTTCTGTAGAAAACTTTTAACAAATTCATACAAATAAGCTGTTTTTACTGCCGAGTTAGGCAAATAAATTATTAAACATGTTTGTGCAACCGATACTTAATGCAAATGGAAACCGTCTTGATCGTACAAAAGGTGATAAAAGTATAAATGGTTTCCATTCACATATAAAAAGATAACAGAAATGGTAGCAGGAAAAAATCTCCTGGGAAAAATCCCCCCGGAAAAAATCCCCTTGAAATAATCCCCCGAGAAAAAATCCCCCCGGGAGAGTCTTCTACGATGGCGGACGTGTTTTTATAACGGAAAAATAAAGGAAAAAAAAAAAAAAAAAGAAATTTAAACAAAAATTTTAATAACTAAGCAACAAATCTAATCAGTAAATAAAAAAAGAAATTAAAAAAAAAGAAATAAAAATTAACGAAAAAAGAAATAATAATAATTAAGTTCATATAAATTAAAAAAACGTCGAAAAATCCAAATAAAAAGGAGGAGCGAGTTTACGTCATATAAACTATAAAAAGAATAGACAAAAAAAAAATTTTCATTTTTAATCACCTAAATTTAACCATAATCATAATATAAAATATGATGACTATGGTATACTATGACTATAGTTTAACTAAAAGAAAAGATAAAAAAAGAAAAGAAAAAGAAAAACAGAAAAAACGAAAAAAAGCGAAACAGAAGAAAGAAAAGATCAAGTATTGGAAGATATTTTTGTAGCTAGCCTTTGTTGTAATTATCATTTTTTTATTTTATTTTAATTAGATACTTATTTTATAATAGATTATTATTTATTCATTTTACTATTTCATAATATATATTTATATCATTCTTTAACAACTAAATTATCAGTTTATTTATTAAGTTACATTATTTTATATAATATATAGTTAAATTATTATTCTATTATTAAATTACATTTCTGTTAAACTTTATTAAATTTTTTATTTATTTAAACCATATAATTTTTATTTATTTAAATCATATAATTTAATTAAATCATATAATTTTAATCAAAATTTTGTTTGATCATTGTGTTATTGTTAATAATATCATCTTCTATATAATAATGCCAAACTTAATCATAGGACACTTAAGTGTCCCTTGGAGCGAAACCCTTCGCAGCCATTGCAACCGAGGTAGTGGCGAGAGTGAGTTGCAGCACTTTGTTTTTTAAGAAAACGTGAACGTGTATGCAAATGTCTAACGTATGTTAACTTTAAATTAAGTAATGTTAAAACCCTACCGGCACATCTAGTTTCTTTTTCGGAAATAAAACCTATATAGGAACGTGTTTTTCACGATCCAGGCGTAAACCAAAAGCACGTGTATATTACGGGCAGTTTTACTAGAGTTTAACACGTGTTTTTTGAGGTTTTAAAGTTTTAAATGTCGCATGTTTACATCAGTGGTTTTACATTTCTTACGGAAAGTTATTACAATATAATACTACGTTTTCATAACGGTGAAACCATTAATACTTTAACTGGTATTTATGGTAAAAATTTCATGGAATAAAAACCATTTTTAATACGTGTTATTCTTTTTGTTTTAAAAGGTTTTAAAAACGCAACAGAAACCAAGCGTAACTATTTTCTGAGTTGTGCCGGCTGGGCTTCGTTTTATTTTTCTCTCTTGATATGCATAGTTCACAATTAATTTCCGAAATAGGCGGTACAAAGAGCATTAGCTTATATACATCTTTTCTTTTATTGTTTTTTTTAACGATTAAAATTTATCTACTACAATTTTAATTTTGTTGCACAAGCTCAAATTGTTTTCAGTTACTGGAAAAAAATGTGAGAATCGGCTTCTGAAATTCGAGCACACCATTTTCATAGATTTATCATTCAAGCATAAATACCAATCATACAATTCTTTATTATTCATTATGATAATAATAAAAAAAAGGTTATATATTATTTTAAAGGATGCTAGAACGCAAATAAAATAATTTTTACCTAAAATAATTACAAAAACTTAACTAAAATCGCTTCAACAGCCAGATAAACTTCTATTAAAAATTCTAGCAGATATTTTATGAAAGATTAATCATTTTAGTTTTCGTAAAACGTTTTACTGTGACATAATAGGTTAAAAAAATCGGTCTAAATTTTATCTGAAAAAGTCCTCTTTATATATAAAAAACTTCGAAAATTTTGTCTACGGAATTTGTCACGTGACTGAAGTGCCTATTATTAGGTTATTTTGTCTATATTTAAAACTTTTCTACATTTTAACAAAGATATTTTTATTTTGGTTTAATTTTTTTCAGAGATAAAACTTAGATAAATATGCTGAGTCAAAAATATTTATATTATAGTATTACATTTAAATTTAGTTTCTTTTTAGCTTTAATTTGCTTATTGGGCTAGAGCCGACGTCGAACCTCAGACTTCTTCAGCCAATACTCTAACCACTGCGCCACGGCTGCAATTTCAATTGATTATCCTTGTGGAAAAAGATCCTTGTTTTAGTTAACTATGCGTTGAAAATAAAATATTTTTTTCCTTAATCTGTTTTGATTCCATGGACTCATCAGCATTGCAATGCTAATGAAATGTTTTAATAATGGAGAGGAGGGGGGTTGTGTTGAAAGATTTAATTTAAGAAAATTATTTAAATACTGAGTTAAATAATTATAAATTAAATTGGTTTTTAATTTTGGACCAAAATTAAAAACCAATTTAATTATAAATTAAATTGGTTTTTTATTTTAGCTGACAATAAAATAATTTTTAATGTCAGCTAAGTTATTAAAATATCAAAGTGAAAAAAAAGGGAAATAACTAGAAATAGCCAAAAAGAAGTTCTTTTTGGTACAATAATACAATGTTAGCTCTTTTAAAGAACAATTAAAAAACTAACATTGTTGTTTATTAGTTTATTAAAATTTCAAATTTAATAATTAATTGAGTACAAAATTTAGGACGCCAATTTGATTATTTTTTAAAAGTTTGAAACAGCTTCGATCTATTTCTGAAAAAGGTTCGATTTTTTTCGAACATTTTTTAAAAAATCTTTATTTAATAAAAATTGAGAATTTAAAGGGTACAAATTTAGTTTAAATTTATTCATTATTTCTTTTCTTCCGCATTTTAGCTTAAAAAAAAATCTTTTTACACCCAAAAGTATTTCTTTGGCAAATTAATATAATTTTTTGAAATAAATTATTTTAAAAAGTGTTTAGTAAGAAAACGTTTCATTATTAAAAATTTGAACTACTTTGAATTTTTTACTTAACACTCTTTGAAACCGGTTTGATAAACTCGTTTAACCGGCGGTTATACCCAAAGAAAGTTGGAATAAAAAAGTTGGAATACAAAAGGTAATCGCTGCAAAGCACCCGCTACACTAATCTGTTCTGCATCCCCGATTTGAGAATTTTAAGATTTCTGCCAGCGCTAGGAACCACCTAAATAATCGCATAAAAAATCTATGCTGTAAAAACGACACAAATCAGCGTAACTGATATTTATACGTAAATCAGGGTAACTGATATTTGTTACTAAATTTTTACTTCTTGTGTTTTTTTTTTCAATGATTTTATAAATTGCGTTTAAAGTAAATTTTTAACGCAGGTTTTGTAAAGTTTTACATTCGAACAATCGGACAGAAAAGTTAACGCGTTCGATTTTATTTTCACAAAGAATGAACTAATGTATACTTAAAAAGATTTCAAAAAAAAAATAACTAATAAAAATAAAAACTGAAGAAGTCACTTATTTAAATAAAAACAACAACGTTTAAACTGCTAATTTTCGTTTCCGAAACACTTCATGACATGAGCTCGAATTTATTCTGATTTACCGCTTTTTTTTGCGTGAACGTTTATATCGTATTTTCAAATATTTTTTGGTTATCATTGTTTTTTCTTTTTTAAAAGACAGTGTCCAATATTAAATAATGTTAAGATACAAGCTCTGCAAAGTTCAATGTTCCATCAGCACTATTATCAAATAGGTGCAATAATAATTATTGTGAATAAAGATTAACAAAACTTTTTTTTTTTCACATTTTTTTATTTTCCCCTATTTAGAGAGGTAACTTTCTCTTTTCAAAAAAAATCTTTACGTATGCTTGGTTTAAACAAACAAAAAAGCCTTCGTAAACACCTCCTCCTACCTAATCCGGCTGCCTGTTAAATTTTTTTTAAAAAAAAACTATGCGTTTGTATGCGCATAAATTTTTTTTTTTTTTTGCTTTAACGTTGAAAGCTGCCATTCTTTGCAAAAAAAATTATTCTGCAGAGCATAATATTTTTAAAACTTTTTATGCTATGTATAATATGCCTCATAGTTTTTATTGAAAATATTCTAGTACTAATTTTGTTTTTATAAATTTTTATTGCTATATTTTTTATTGAGGGTAATTTTTTTTTTTCATAGCCACAACTATGTGAAGAAATATTTTGATACAAATTAAATTTTATTGATGAATTCTAAATTTATATGTTTAGTAGATTTTCCTGTAACCTTATATATACCTTCAACGTAGCAAAGACATTTGAATATTGACATTTGAATATAGACATTTTTATAAATTTGGCATATGAATCAAAAACATTTGAATAAACTTATTTTTATAAATTTGCTTTTTTATAAAATATACTTACAGAATTAAAAGAATTTTTTAAAGAACCTATTGACAACTTCGAAAACAGTATCACTTAAATGCCATAAAGCAAACAGCTCCTATATTATGTTTAGTAGAAAGCTAAACGATTTTTTTTGAAATTTTTAAGCAAACAACTAAAGGTTTTTTTTGGATACAAACTAAGACAAAAATTTTTTTCAAAGAATTTGTTATTTACAAATTTTTCGTTTTTCATTTTATTTTAAAATATTGTCTTTAGTTTTCATTTTCTTCTTCTTAAATGAAAGAATAAAAAGCAACCGAAGCGTAAATCTTGAAGCAATTAGGTAATGACGTAGTAATTCTAAATGTATTCATGGCCGACGACGCGGGCTTCGAAGAGGAGGAGCACAATCGTCTATTTTTAAAAAGAATCCTCTATATCTAGAATTTTGTCTTAAAAAAAAAAGAAGGTCCTTTAGAAAAGATGTGGGGGGGGGGGGAAATCTCGTACCCCGGCCTCTCCCCGGCGTAGTCGGCCCTGGTCTTTACTGTATTTTTTATATCAACAACATGACTAATATTACTTTTTTAAATTTAGAAAAGAAACCGCGCAAGAATTTGTGAAAAAACAAAAAACTAGAATAGTGTACCAAGTAACGCAAAACATTGAAAATACACAAAGAAAATATTCTTCTGTTTTAGACGGAAATGCTGGAGAATTGAATGCTTCAAAAATACTTGCAATAATTAAGTATTTGATTCGATTTCATTATTTACTTTTTTTTTTTTAGAAAATGCACCGTTTAGTAATCCTCTCAAGCAATAAAAGTTATAAAAACACCTTTTCTATTAGATAAATCCTGAGAACAGAGCACACCCTTGAAATTAAAAAAACAAAATCACCTCTGTAAATAAAATTTAACATTAAAGTATACATACTCTCAAGTGTTACAATGGTAAATCCTACTGGATTCACCATTGTAATGATTAAACTCAGTAAGAACTTTTCATTGTTTCTCCTAAATCTAACACTTGAAATAATGATTTGATGTTTCTATTTTTTAGAAAAGAAAAAGTTAACAACGTAAAGCCAAAAGTGAACGTTATCTTTTTAATAACCCACAAAACAGGATCCTTAACCGTAACAAATGTGTTGCAAAGGTTTGCGAAATCGCACCACCTCAAAGTAGCGTTACCGAAATGCGACCATAGGTTTTGTTACCCTCGTAAGTTTGAAACAAGTTTTTTATACAAACCCTATTTTGACAACAAGTACAACATGTTGTTTAATCATGCTGTTTTTCATAAAAAGAACATGCTTTCAATTATGGAAAACAACAATGCAAAGATAGCAACCATTATTCGAGAACCGTTTTCTCAATTTGATTCTACTTCCGATTACTTCAATATTAGAAAGTTTTACAAACTTAACAATGAAACGCCTGTAATGGATGCTTTCTTTGAAAATTCAAATGAAGAACTTAAAAAAACAGTCCTATCTTTCAATCCGTTGAATGATACTCACGGTGCGTTTTCATTGGCTAAAAACCCTAACAGCTTTGACTTGGGTTTTGATGTTTGGAACGAGAGTTCTGAGTATATACAAAGCGTAATAAAGTCGATTAAGCAAGACTTTCATCTTGTCATGATTATGGAGTATATGAAAGAATCATTTGTACTATTAAAAATCGAACTTTTCTGGAATTTAGAAGATGTAACTTTTAATGTACATAACGCGAGGGAAAAAAAGGTAAAAAACACAAATGACAAAGAGAAAATAAAAAATAGAGTTTATAGTTGGAATAAGCTGAATGCTGAATTATACAACTTTTTTAATAAAATATTTTGTGAAAAAGTTAAAAACGCAGGAAATGATTTTGAAATAGACGTACAAAAATTGAAAATCATGAATAAAAATATTAAAGAGCGGTGTTCAACTGAGAGTTCTAAAGTTAGTGCGGAAACAATTTTAAAATATTTAATAATGGAACGTGAAAATAATATTAGAAATAACTTTAATAAGTTTGGTTATGTGAAATGCATAGAGATTTTAGCTAATGATATTGAGTTTAAAAAATGGTTTAAAATTTTTTTTTAATAGGATCAAAAATGTATCCATAAAGTTCGTAAATTTGCCTTCACGCCACCACAAATCAACCAAAAGTTGTCTGATTGTCTTCACATCAACGCAAACCAACGTAGCAAATTCTCCTCCGTCATCTTACCTTCAAATAAAGTAAAAATTAAAAACTAGTAGTTTTCAATTAAACAAATTGTGTGCGTTTGTATAATTCGAAGTTCAAACTTATTTAAAATTATTTCTTTGTTATACAGAAGTTTTTTTATCTGCAACATATCCCGTATGCATTTACCAAATTCTCTTGTTTCATACAAATTTTCTTATTAAAATCGAGCAAGATCTTTGTTTGCTCTGCCTTTTTTTTTAAACGACTTCCCAGACAGCCTCCCGCTAGTGACCCAATGCTGGCCCAGTTCCGCTTGCGATTACGGCGCGATGACGGCTGTCGATCACGGGCCTGCACCGAAACGGCCATTGGGTTAGCACTGGCCCGCTGCCATGGACCAGCATTGGCCCACAATCGTTCGCTAGCACTGGCCTGCGATCGTGTGCCAGCACTGGCCCGGGATCATTTACCAGCACTAGCCCGCGATCGTTTAAATCCGATTTAAAACGGGCCGCGGCCCGTTTAAATCGGATGGTCTGAATAAAAGTTTTCTAAAACTTAATAAAAAAAACCCTTTTAAAACAGTTGTGCTACTCTAGAAAGTGCTGCTGCTGCTGCAAAAAAATCCCATTAGTTAGAAAAATATTTTAAAAATTTCTTTTGACAATAAATAGTTTTTTTTTGCTACATTTATTTTTTTACAATAAATATGTGCTGCAGCTGTTTTTCAAAACGCATCAATATACTTATT